GAGCTACGTACAAGGAAGAACGTAAAGAAAACTAAAGTTGAAGGACTATACTTATTTACATGATGTTATCAGAGTAACTTGGCTCTAAAAATATTAAATTTTATTTTATTATAGTCCGTCAATTTTAGTTTTCTTTACGTTCTTCCTGGAAGCTTGGTAATGGTATCATAACGACCCCGAACCGTGGCTCAATTGCTGGTTTTCACAAGAGAATAAAATAACAAAAGACACAGCCATCACCACCACCAGCACCATCACCATCATCATGAGCCAATGGAAATCGCTTCATTGTTTTTCGAAGAGTCCATAAAATTTTTTTATATAAAATTGTTTAATATTCATTAAATTCATTATGACTTTTAACTAATGATATACCATTATAATTAATTATAGTTTTATARTAACATTAAATTCTAACAGCTTAGCATTAATTAAATGGTTAAATATATATTATTTCTTAGGAATTCATTAAATAATGTACCTAATAYTACCCATACGTCATTATATAAATACTGTTAAATGAGCGAGCAAACATGCCGTGTTTTGACYACACGTATTCAATCAATTATTTCTTCAATACACGAATTTCCTTCAAATCATCCCACATGTGGCTTGTTTTCAATGTTAACTGTTGCAAGTCATGCGCCAATTCCTGTGTTTTGATCTTCATCAATCGAAGATTATTCAAGATGTCATCGATATTTTTGCTTTGTGCTATTWCTTCGTCGTCTTCTTCTTCATCACTTGTATCGCTGTATTCCTCGGGCACCGTAAGCAGATTTTTGGCCGATATTTGTGACTGACTCGATAGTTCTTCCGTCTGTTTCGTCAGTTCATTTTCTTTTTCATTGCTGTCCTTCGTTTCTTGTCCATCATATTCCGATACAACTATGCGAGGTTTTTCTAAGCTTAGCCTTTTCAGCAATGCCTTCCTTTTAAAAGGAAACATTGCTGGCTGTCAACAAACTCGTATTAACTTCATAATACCTCTTTTTGCCTCGTCAAGATCGTTTTTTCTTATTCTGTATTTTCTTTATCCAGAGGCCGACAAATATTTTTGTCTTCCATGGGAAAGATCCAAGCTTTTTCAGTGTATTCCTGCCGCCGTCACTGAACGGATGATCGAAATATGAGCAATAAAACACTTTTTAATGTATTCATGTCTCTTACGTTTTTGTTTGACTTACAAAAGGCTTGTCATTCAAACAATTCAATATTTATACCATCAGTAAACATAAAGTCAATCAATTGGACAAATTGGGTAAATAAAGTGTGAAAGGCTTAGGAATAGATTGTCATTCTAAAGCTGCTCAGCCCTCTATTGTCATAACAATGACACCGAAATCCCACGGGAGAGACGCTGTATTTCATTATACACGGATAGAGACACTATGACAAGTGCATTTATATTTCATTGAAGCGATTAACTTGTAATCAAGCAATGATGAGCAGTGCATATAAACAACGTGTATTATGTGTTTATTGATTTTTATGCTTATTACATACATCTATTTAGACCCCAAAATTTTCTAGTGAAATTAAAAAAAATTGTACAAAAAAGATTTTCCTCATGGCTGATATAACGGTAGCTCACTCGATCGCCTCTCACTTCTGGTCTCGGTAGGTTTTTCTTTGATTTGAGTGTTTTTCTCCGAGTTCTCTCTTGGCGAATCTTTGTACCCTGAATGAGAACGACAATTGTGCCTACAGCTGAAGTTGTATCCACTTGTTTGTATACATTGTTCTCCATCACTGTGTTTAATCAAACTTGGAATTCTGAAACAGTGGATTTTTGCGTATGAGCACTAGAAGGTGTTTCTATGTTTAGTTTGGTTGCTAACTGAGTCTTTTTACTATCCAACAGAATATCACGTAACTCTTCCAAAAGAGCAGACTGACTCTTCAATGTCGAAGAAATTTGTTTTAATCTGTGAAAGAAAGATAAAAAAATGATTGATGACTAGCTTCATATGAATACATCCTCCCTCCGCAAAACCAGACTAGTTCGTTCTGTGAGTTAGCCATGCC